ACGCATTTATCGGTTTGGTTCCGCCTTCAGCATACCTCACCTACAATCGGTTTGAAATATCTCAGAGCGACCAAATTAAACCCACTTATACAACTATTTGCTGGATGGTAGTGAATCCAAATGTGGCAAATCTACAAAATAGTTAATATAATTTAGTTCCTAGCAAAAACCTGCGAACATTGCAAGAGAAGATGTATCATCCTCATGACCCTATTAAAAAGCCTACAACTCAATTGCTAAATCAACGCAACGTACGGTTATCATTTTTACCTACCATAATTGCAATAGCGACACACATATAGTATCTAATTAACTCCAATTTATTCCACCTTACATTAATTCAAATTACCCAATAACCTGCAAAGAAAGACATCCACCTAGTCGCCAACCAAAAACTTCCGAAATTAATCACACGTACCCCCCCCCCACCCCCCCCCCTCAAACCCTAATAAATACTCGCTCTCTCATTTTCTAAACACACCACTGAATTTTCTTTAAAAAAATGCTCGGAAAAAGCCAACATTGGGCGGCAAAAGATCGAGATAAAGCTGCATCCAAAACGAAGAAGCCCGGCAAGTGTGCTTCTCAAATGCGCAGGACCGGCCTCTTACAAGAAAGCAGCGAGCTCTCCATCCTCTGCGGGCGACATCGCCTCGCTAGTCTTCTCCCAGCCGGCAAAGGCCTCTCTCCTTCGGCCACCACCTCGTGGACTCCGTCTTTGACCGCTTCCTGCACCGGCACCGCCGACATCAGCACCACCCGTCTGACATCGCGTCGAGCTCAGCATCATCAACGCGTTGCGCCGACGCTAAAACAGGCAGTGGCGGAGCTGGCTGGGGATGGTGGAGGCCGAGAGAGAAGAGATGGAGAGGAGGCTAGAGGTGGCGATGAAGGGGGATGCAGAAGGTGCCGTACTGGTGGATAGCGGGACATGGAGGAGTGTGGGGAATGGGAGGAGTTGAGGGAGGTACGAGGAGCAGGCTGATGAGAGTTGCAGCGCGGCACGTTGCGAGGAGAGCTGATCAGTTGTTGGTGGAGGCTTGGAGCAGTCGGAAGAGTTTCGTTGAGAGTAGTAACAACAATAGTAATGTTGGTTCTGGATTAATGCAACGGATTGGTGGTGGTGGGGTGAAGAATGGAGGAGGGGTGGGGTTTTCTGCAGGGTTTGGGTATGGGCATGGGATTTTTGGGTAGTAGGATGCAATGTGTGCATGGGGAGTGCTTTGAGAATAAAAAGTTTGATTGGTTGATCATGCATGGGAAATTATCTTACTCGATTTCCTTTATTTGATGGAGTTTATGTTATTGGTTTTATGAATAATTCTACTTGGTGCTGTAAATCCGTGCAGATCATAGTTTGAGTTGGTGATTGATGCAAATAATGTTATTTTGTTAGCGTTTCTTGGGTGTCGTGAGTACTAAGAACTTTTTCCCCACCTTTTTTTTTAAATTTTATTTATTTATTTATTTATTTTTTGAGAGCCATGTTGAGTTAAAGAGTACCATTTAATGTCAAGGTTCTGTAAGCCTCAAAGTGGTTTGCATATAATATCGTAAACATCCACAGAACAAATCAACTAACTATGATAAAAACAGTTGTCTTTCTTCTAACTTTTCAAGGTGGGTAGGATCCAAAATTTTTGGTAGAGTGCGAACAGATATGCCACTAAGAATGTCAACAAACAAAGCCTATCGGACACATTTCATGGAGTGCGAACAGATTTGTCCCTTCGGATGCAAATTAAGAGACACATTCCTTGATGCCCGAACAGACCTCTTTGATATGAAGCGTCCCTTGAACCTATGAAGTAGAATTATTACTCATCAAATATGTAAAATAGATAACCTATTTTTCTCCAATATTTAACGAAAAATTATTATTTTTCTGAGTGCTATTCACTGGAAATACAATGTTATTATATTAACAACGAGTTACAACAATTAATTTAAATACTATTAGATGATTATAATAAGTTGGAAGTTGTCCATGAACGAAGACTATGAACATGACCTATCGACTTGAATTCAAATTGACTGGAAAGGATATTATCGAGTCATAAGTTCAAGCATATTTAGCCTTATAGATTCAGATCATCTCCAATTAGATGATAATTAGAGAGTATCTAATTCTTATAATCCTCACTAGTAGAAAAATGAGCATTGGCGACGGGGAAATCCGTCGCCAATGCAGCAAAATCCGTCACCAATACACTTTCGCGACGGGGCGGAGTCCGTCACCAATAATCATGTCGCCAATAAACATTGGCGACGGGGAAATCCGTCGCCAATGTTCATTGACGACGGATAGGTATTGGCGACGAAAAACATTGGCGACGGGTAACGCCCGTCGCCAATGTACATTGATGACGGGTAAATATCCGTCGCCAATGTACATTGGCGACGGGTAATAGCCCGTCACAAATGTACATTGGCGACGGGTAATGCCTGTCGCCAATGTACATAATCAGGTAAAAAAAATTATTTCTGCATTGCAAAGCCCCCCAATCGAGAATGCGTACATGTTACTACCATTATTCACAATATATTGAACAATACTCACAATATCACATTTATCGATTGGCATCCAACAATATTCACATTTAACGATTCACATCCAACAATGTTCACATTCACATCCAACAATATTAGCATTTACATTCATCCATTCACATCCAACAATATTAACATTTAACAATTCACATAGATACATAATCAGGAGGTCATAATATGTTCAACACAATCCAAAAGTCCACATAATCAGGAGGTCATAATATGTTAAACACAATCCAAAAGTCCACAAAAGTTACCAAAAAGTCTAACTCACCACTCACTCACTCATCATAGTCGTGGTCCCTATCGTCGTGGTCCCTATCATCGGTGGCGGCTACATCAGAATGCTGTACCGTACTGCTGCTTCCTATGGCGGTACCTCCTCTAGCCTAAAAAGAATGTAAATAAATATGAGAATATATTCCAAAATACCCATAATAAATACATATATATAATATGACATATATACCTCTTCACCACTTGCAGCTGCATGCTCATCAAATGCCAACACCATAATATACGCGTATATAGACTGCAGAAGCAAGTCCTTTAAAGGTTGAGAATCGATGAGTAGCTGAATGACATCCCAAGTCGTTTGTGCACCACTTAACTCGTGCTTAATAGTGGGAAGAAAACGTAAAGCTAATAGAATTTTAACATTCTTCATTAAGTATTTTCCAATCTTACCCACGACATATGACGTGTCATCGTGTCACGTCGAGGTCACAGATTGGATGCTAGGCTTATTGGTGGTGGTGAGTGTCTTAACTCTAGTACTTGACAGAGGTACTCATCCTTTCTTTCTTGAGTGTAAACCGTAAGCTCCGTCAACAACTTCCATCCACTCGTCTTTGGTCATGCGGTTAGGCTCTACAGGAGTGTCCTCTGTACTTCGAGACTGCGTGACACGGGTGAAGACATCGTTTTGAGAAGCTTCCAGCGCCGCCTGCATATCATATATCATAAAAATTAGAAACTTTGATGAAAAATCATTAAGTATATACAAATCTAAAATTAATCTTATATTTACGTTCAATTCATTAATTTTCTCTACCTTTTTATCATTTCCCTCTGCATTTTCATAGCCCTGGGGCGGTGTATAAGCTCTTCTAGCCAGAAGAGTCAGGGGCATAGTCAAAGCGTCTTGTGATATATTAAATTCCAAATTAAATGTAGGAAACTAATCACATGAAATCAGTTTTAATAATATGATCATACCGGTTTTTCACTCAAATACTTATGCTCGATCTGAGCATTAGGAGTAGCTCCTAAAAAGTGATCGTATAGCTTTGATCTACGATTCACCGATGCCGTTTCACATATTTTCTACAAAATAAAGTATTTTATTAGTATGTGCGATGATAATATATAAATGAAAAATAACGTGATGATAATGTTATAAATTAAAAATAATCTACATTCTTCTCACCCTCCCACTCGATAATGAGAGTCATCCAATTAAATGGAGGAACTCTCTTATCAAGCTCATAGATCCTCTTCCAATCAGTAGATAAATTTGTGAAATATCTTTTCTTTAGATCACTCTTCCAACCCCGAATAAGCTTGGCCATTTTGGGGATAACATAATCCTAAGACTCTGAGTTGTCTTCAAGACAATAATGATCCTGCAAGTTACATGGCAAAAAAAGTATACTATAAGAATAATCATTGTGAATTGTAAACAAAATAAGCAGCAGTATATTAAATAATTACCATGAGCTTCTCCCAAATCTTTTTTATGCATTTTAATTCTTGCTCCTCAAAATTATGAGCAATATTAATGGAGCGTGGATCTCTTATTAAACAGCCAATCAAGTTATTAAATCTGACAGCCCAATCCCCAACAGGAATGTTATCATTCCACTCCAAAATGCTTCGGTACCCTTTCGGAGGTACTTTCGTCTTTTCCTCACTCCTATACCTACCGGGTTTCTCACAATCTTTTTGGCCTACAAAGTCAAAGAGAAATAAATTTCTTATTAACTGAAGTAAGAAAATAAGTATGAATTATCCAAAGTTTAAACAAAATTATTACCTTTTTCCCTCATTAGATCTGACATAGCTTTATCTAGTTTCTGTTTTATGGCACGCTCCTTTCTTTTAATATCATCTCTCTTCAATTTGTAGTTCATATCACATTTTTTTTGTAATTCAATAGCTTTTTCTGGTAGAGGGATGCGAGATACTGACGGAGTCCATGGGCGGAGTTCAATAGCTTTTTCTGGTAGAGGGATGCGAGATACTGACGGAGTCCATGGGCGGAGACATGCCATCTCTTACTGAGAAGATCCGGACATCCTCTCGTGCTCGATCTCATCATCACCAGATCCATCGTAAGCATTGTCTGCAAATATTTATTAGGAATATAAAATATCATTACATTACATTAAAATATTATTACATTACAAATGTATAATACCTATATCTGGTAATGCGTCTTGATGTTGCAGTGTACCCATTTGAGATGTCCCCGCAATATCTAACAAATTATAAAATAAGAAATGAACATATAAATTTATCAATTGAGGTAATTACATGCACAGAAAGTTTAAAGTAAATAAATCAAGCAAGAAAATTTGTGTATCATGTATAGCGTATCATGGATGCTTGCGGGAACATTAAGGTATATTTGCTTTACCAGGAAGAGGATGAAAACTAAACAAAGCAAGCAAATTTTATACCTTCAATTGGTGAGGATCCATGTAGAGATAACTGACTCCGAGATGGTCGTGAGGACGATCCTAGATAAATAAACAAAATAGTAAATATAATGCATATTTATATCAAAAATACAACCTACTTAAAACAAAATTTGAATATGCATACCGGATGATGGACCTTCTCGATCCCGAGGAAAAGATAGCCTCCTAACTCTTTGGCTCATCTACAACTTAAATTGTTAATATAACATAATTGAAATATTTAATAAATGCATACAAGATATCAAGTCGAATTTGCATAAGGATCTTTGTATTCAATCTCCTACATTACAGATATCAAGTCGAATTTGTATAAGGATCTTTGTATTCAATCTCCTACATTACAGATATCAAGTCGAATTTGTGAAGTATACATATTAAAATTGACATTCTGAGGGTATGAGTAATTAAGAAAAATTCCTCCTTCGGCCTCATTTGGGTCATCAGTATCATTCAAGTTTTCATCAAGAGCAAGCTGAACAAGAGTCCTCGGCTCCTTTTACAATACGACCCAGACATTCGGGTGCTTAGGATCTTTGACGTAAAAGCACTGAGTAGCCTGATTTGCAAACATAAACTTCATATCGGGATATATCTTCTTATCTAGATTTACAAGATGAAAATCATATGCATCCCTAGTACTCTCTGCATGACACCAACGAACCTTAAACATCACATAACTACGTACATTTTTGGTACCGTACGCATAGAATTGACACCAACGAACCTTAAACATCACATAACTACGTACATTTTTGGTACCGTACGCATAGAATATCTCCACAATATCTTCTAATTGTCCGTAATAAATTACATCACCAAGTACAGGATTTTGATCAGTTGAGCTTGAATAACATTCTTGAGAAAATGCAGCCATGGCCCCACTATTTTGAGTAACTCTCTCCTCCTCAAGCCCAACCCGTTGAAATAAACACCCATTTACACGATATTCGCTGCATTGTTTAACTGTGTAGTGCAGTCTATATGAGTGAGTACTTATCTCTTCTGACACTGGCAAACCAGCACATTTTTGTCTTTCTACCTAATGTTGCACATAAACACAAATTATCATTAAATAGTTAGCCTTATTTATTCCCAAAAAGAATGTTAAATAAAATACACTTTAACTTACTTCAGCTATGACCCACTCGGTAAAATGTTTTTCATGAATTTTAGCAATTTGATTTCGTGCGGACACACCAGTTATTTCTAAGTGTAACTCCTCCAAATGTCGTCCGTTGATACAAAAAATTAGAGTTCAACTATTGATATAATTCAAAAAAAATCATATTTGTTAAAGTTAATTTCTTACTTGCGATAATCTTCAAAGATTTCCAGGTTTTGCAATAAGAAGGCATGAGCCTGATTCAAGTCAATTCTGGAATAGTCTTTGTTCATCTTAGTACTTCCATGAAAGGTATCATCTCTATTACTATTTATCTCCTTATTTTTTGTATGTACACCATGTATATACTGAGAGGTAAACATCATACATTCATTTGCCATGTAATGATCAGCAATCGATCCTTCAGGATGAGCCCGATTTTGCATTATGTGTTTCAAGAAACCCAAATATCTAAAGATAATATTAATATGAGTTGTTAACATAAAGCAGTTACATGTATTGCAAATAGACTTAATTGAATTTTGACTAACCTCTCTATGGGATACATCCAACGATAGTTAACTGGTCCTTCGAGTAATGCCTCATCTACAAGATGATGTGTGAGATGGACCATGATCGTAAAAAATGATGGAGGGAAGAATATCTCCATTTTACAGAGGGTTTCATTCATTTCTCCTTTTAGTGCCTTAAATTCATCAATATTGATAACTTTTGAGCATAACTTTTTTAAAAAATCCACAGAATTCGATTATAACTTTTGCTACTTCTTCATCGGCCATGTTGTTATGAAGTGCTACCGGAAGCAATTGGTGAAGAAGGATATGATAATCATGAGTCTTAAGTCCTAAAAGTTTTCGCTCTTTCACTTGGATATTATTTGAAATATTAGAGTAGTAATCATCTGGTGACTTCACTGACTTAAGCACCTAACAGAATCTCTGCATCTCAACTTTTGACATTGTAATACGAGCTAAAGGAATCTCAAATTTTCCATTGGCGACTTCTTGTACTTGCAAATCATGTCAGATGTTCAACGCATTCAAGTCTTGTCCAGCCATTAAATCGTCCTTTGATTTCTTACCATCTTGTAGAAGTGTGGACAATAAGTTATCACATATATTCTTTTCAATATGCATTACATCTAAATTATGTTGGAGTGTTGTAAATAAAAGCCTTCGAAGTTCGGACAACATACAGGACAAGCGACTGTCCCTTTTGTAAACCAACCAGAGAGATTACCATAAGCTGGAAAATCATTAATTGTCCACATAAGAATAGCACGGAGATTAAAAGACTCACAAGAAAATGCATCATATATTGGGACCCTTTCATCCCAGAGACGTTTTAACTCATTAATTAACGGCTCCATGAACACATTAAGTTTAATAGTCTTTATTTTAGTTGATTGAACAAATAATCAAACAAATTAAATTACTCTTCTGTAATGGTCGTTGTTGTACCAAATAAAAGCTAACACGCTATGATAAGTAATCCTAATTTAAACCAACACTCTCGACTGTCATAGGAAGGCTTCTATTGTTAGACCCTAGAGGGGGGGGGGGGGGGAAGAAAATGCAAACCTCTAAATAATTCTTCATCTCCAATCTTCATCATCCAACAAAGAGAAGAAATATTTAAAGTGGTAAAAATTATTATTATTAATTGCAACTAAAGTTACAATTTTTGGAAGGCCTTCTCAATTAAGAGTAGCGCCCTCCTCTCCCAAAGGAGTTTACAAAATTTTCACCCCTCTAACCCCTCACTCTCTACCCTATTTATAGTAAACATCAGTGAATGAGAGCCATTGCATTGAAATCTTATCCAAAAACCAAACAATTTTCAGCCATTAAACTGTAACAAACCGCCCAGGGTATCGATGCAGGCATCGATGTAGGCATCGAGCAGGCATCGATACCGGCATCATGCAGGCATCGATGCCCCATCGATGCGGGCATCGATGCCTCCCCTTCTGCTTTTGCTGTCCGCAGATTCTTCTTGTTGTTTGCTTTGGGGCTTTGGACATTGGGCTTTTCTTGGACTCTTGGGCTCTGGGCTTTGATTTATTTCTTCATTTAAATACTTGAAAGAATTCATTGGGCTTCATGGCTTCATTTTTTTCAATAAATCACGGGCTTTTGTTGAGAGATGGGAGTTTTGAGATTTATTCTTCATTAACCTGCAATTTAAAGATAAAAACAATTATTATGCTATATTTATTATATAAATAGATAATGAGGCGGTATAAAATTGTAATAAAATGTGATTATCACTTATCCTAGCTTTTATATATCTTGTGGTATTTCATATTTGCTAGGATAACTTGATAATTAATTTAATTGGCATTTAATCGGATTAGATTAGCATAAGAGACCTTAATCA